TATATGACACCCACTGCAAGATTTTAGAAATTTTTTTATATGAAGAGCAGCATCTAGTCTTTCAGGCTTATTCTCAAAGTTTCATTGATACTGACTTTGGTGTGTTATTTATTACTTGGAATTAGAGTTGGAAAGACCTGTGTTGACTGCCTACATACATATGAAATTCAGTATGACAGACTATTTCTTTCATACTAAATACTCGACCTTGTCAAAGAAGTGTTAGTGTTCTGCCAGCTTTGACAAAATCTCCTAACCTGTAGGTACTTCCCTTAAAACAATGAAGGAAAAAAACTATCTATCTATCTATCTATCTATCTATCTATCTATCTATCTATCTATCTATCTATCTATCCATCTATCTATCCATATATCCATCCATCCAACCATGTATTCATCTCTAGGTATATAGATATATATTCTTATATGGAAAAAACCTTGGAAGAGGAACACTTAAAGGTGTAATACAAGTAGAAGGAAAACCAGAGCAATCAGGTTTTAATTTCTTATCCCACTCCATGGTTTTAAGTCAACCTGCCAATTTTTGAATTCTAATTGTTTGGATTTGGCTCTATCGCAAAGTTTGCTATGAATGACTGCGTGTCCTTTCTTTTGTGCTGTAAGATTCCTTGGACAGGAACTATTTTTTACTTTTGTGCCACATTTTGCCTAGACTTTGGGCCAGAAGTCTGTGGATTATTGCACTCATCAAGTAATAAGGGACAGACAACAATTTATCATGCTCTTTGTGGCAAAGCCAGTTACTGTCTTACTAATAGGTTGCCCATAAACTGTGGTTTGAGAAATATTTCTCCAAGCTCATTTGTTTATTTACATAATTCACACTTGAAGTCTAAGAATTACCTTCTATTGACTATACCAAGCATGATTTCAGGGTAGAGTGAAGAATATTTATGTAACATTTCAATTTCTTTAAAAAAATGAAATTTGTTTGTTTATTTATATTTATAGTTCCAAAAGTCTTTAATGCAGCTAGATGTCTTTGAAATCGTTGCTTATTTTTGGTACTGCTGGTCAGCTTAATTGGGCAGATTGCACATCTTTTTACTAAATCACTCTTTGAGGATATACTATCCAGATTGCCTCTACCCTGAGGGAATATAACTTTAAAATTTCTACTATTACACATATTCCCATGTGGCTTGAAATACTAGTAGAATATATAATACATTCACCCACAGTCGGTACACCACCAAGGAAAGGAAAAGGAGAATGAAAGCACTAGAAAATTATGATACTGGCTGGCACTTCAGGACCTCAGTCTTCAGAAGATAAGAAGGCAATTGTTGGCCTGTGGCTAATTCCCAGAAGGAAATGACTTGCTGCAGATTCATAGATAAATACAGGATTTGGTTATTAAAAAACACGGGATAAAATTTTCAAAATGCAATGCTGATCTATTCAGTTTCTAGCCCTTTTTAATAACAGATTTAAAGGTAGTTTGAAGATGTTAGATTGAAAGACAGCAAGTGCTCTGACAGCATTTTTAGAGCCCCAAGAACTTTTGAATACCTTTCTCCTTTAGTTTAATATTAATGTCAAGCTGGGGGCAGTGCAGAAATCGAATAGAGAAACAAACATATTACAGAAATGAACAGTTGACGTAGGTATGTATTTTATTATACCTGTCATGGATTTAAAAATTGAGATGGGAATTTTCCTTTCATGTTATTATTTACAGTTGTTTTAAGTCTTTAGAAATGCTGTTGATTTAAATTGACTCATTCCATTCAAAGGAAGACTTTATTACAAAATACAAAATATCTTTCTCTGAAAGCCATAGAAAAGGAAAAATAGAACCCAGTCTAAAAGGAGAACTCACTTTGAAAATCAAAAGTTCAAACTACAGATGCAAAGAAAGACATCCCCCAATACTGTTCTATTTTAAAACTTTAAAACTATTGAAAAAAATTAGTTTTCTATCAAACTTTCAACACAAACAATAAGCCACTGAAGAAAAAATTGAGTTCAGATATTTGACAGTACTAAAACTTCACAGGCACTTATTTGTGTTCCTGTTGCCTTTAAGAGGTTTTCTTAAAGACTACAGTCTGTTAAAATTAAAAGAACTTCACGTAGTCTATTATGTAAACAGGTAGACACATCACTTAGCCTTCATATTTGTTACGCAGTAAATGAAAATGGATTTAGAGCATGTCTATTAGGGTCCAAAAAGTTCTTGTTCTGTCTTTCAATCAAAAGCCTCTGTTTTGAGAGAATAGTGCCAAAGACATTGCTGTATTTATAATTTAGCAATGATACGGAATGTGAAGATCACTCCAATTTTGTTGGCAGTTGCTACTATCACATGATAGAAACTACTCAATCAGTGTTTGGCTGAGAACAAGTTTACTCTTACAAATCTGAGACAACCTTGGTTTACCTTAAAAATACCACACATGGTAATTAGTTCTGTAATATAATAAAGAAGTAGTCAGCTTTCTAAGTTTTATTTATGTCTTAGGTTAACTCCCAAGGTAAATTGTGGATCATTCCAGGGTTACTACTTGAAATAATCCAAACCAATGAAAAAAAAATTCTTTAAACACTGTCTTAAATAATCATTTTCCATTTCTGATATTGCAATAATAATGCAATTTATTTTGGTGCAATTTATTGAAGTAGTGAACAAGCTGGTGCTAGTAACAAAAAGTAGTTTCATTTTATAGTGGCAGAAATGAAAGAAATATGTTTAGACTCTTTTCCTTGGAGTATATTATTTTGAATATATGCTCTTTTTTCACATTGTGGAAAAATGCAAATTCAGAAGGTTCTAATTTGGCCAGAAATATGAACCCAAACATGATCATGCCACCAGCTTCTGAGATGCCAGATGGAAGAAAACACACAGGTTTTTGTTTCTTGTGAAAAATTATGAAAAAAGAGAACTTTTGATGTTTATTCTTCTTCACCTTAAAGAAAGATGACTGTCCAAAATAATGCCATTTTGGAATGATACAGCTAAGACAGAGGATTCAACCTTATAGTGACCTTTCCATCTTCCTACAGCTCTTTATATAATTCTTCCTATCATTCTACTTTAAAGAGATTTAGAAAACATTTCTTTAATGACATTTAAAACTTTTATTTTCCAATAAAGAACAAAGACCATTCCTGTAATTAAATATTTATGATGTAGTCTTAGCAATGTTCCTCATATATATGCCCCTCAAATAAACTGCTTACTCGAAAATTGCATTGCTTGAGGGCTTAATGCAAGCCCTTAATTTTTGATTAAGAAGAATCAAACCATTGTCTTCCTATGCTTAAATATGTTTTTAATATATTTCCAAAAACCCACATATTTGGAAAGAATATAAATTTTCAGCTGGTGTATTGATACAAAGATTTTAAGACCAACGATTATTAACAAAAATGCACATGCAGGTGAATTTTTATTTTAGTATGCCCCTCTTTTAAAATAAAATGCTGTCTTCTTTACTAACTGGTTTTCAGCGTCTGTTTAAAGGAATGGGAGATGATGTAACGAGGTGATGATATTTCTAATTGAGCCAGGAGAGGGAGCCCCTTAATAGGGAGATAATTCCTATGTCAGTCCTTCTGCTGTTCCTGAAGTTCTGATCAAGCTTAAAAGGAAGATGAAATGTTAACACTGCAGACTATTTCTTTAGCTCTCTTTCAGAGGTTAACAGGGGACAATGAACAAAACTATAATTTTCTGTCACACTTTTTTTTTTTTTTTTTTTTTTTTTTTTTTTTTTTTTTTGAGAACAAAGGAGACTTATGGTGAAGTTTCAATGGTCTGCCTTCCCTACTCTAAAAATAGTACAAAATGACTCCCTAAAGTTTTAGTATATGTTTAAACTGCCTTTCTGGTACAGTGCTGTGCAGTTCTAATTGTACTGTTAATGCATCGCACAAATATCTGTGACTCATCTATGTGTGAAAATAAAAGGAGAGTGGAGATCCCTAATTCAGGCTGAGAAAAGACAAGGGAGAAAAATCCTAAACCATTATATAAAAAATTTCCTTATCAGTGATTTTAACAGAAAATATTGGAATTGCCATTTATATCAGCCTTTATTTATGGTGCACAAAATGGATCTTCCAACGATTTCTCCCTGAGAGCAGTTACCCCAGCAAAATATCATGCTTTACCACTCATTTGTTTTCTGTGAACACACATGTTCTCAAAGTGCAAAAGTAATTTTGCCATTGTCTTTTGTAATCTGTATTTGTCATAATGCAACATTGCTGATATTGCTAACAAATCACTGAGTTTACTGAAGAAAAGGGACTATGACAACATTGCTTTGATACCACAGATCTCAGCAAGTACAGTTAGTTCTTGGTAGTTCTAGGGGAGCAGGACTAAATGGCTTATCTTTTTCTCTGCCTGGGTATTTTGAAAATCCTTTACCTGTTGTGTATCAAAGCAGTTAAGCAGTTAAGCAAATACATATGGCAAAGCTTAAGTTCATTACTTATTATTTAAGTAAATGCTATCAGATTTTGTCTTAAGAGCAGGGGTTTGAAATACAGTTTACACACAGTATGTTGAAGTACAATGAACAACTCACAATTAAAATCTTTATTCAAACTTAAATTAAAAAAATGAAGCCCCAGTTCCACTCAAGTCAATGGCAGACTTTCCCAGGATGCAAAAAGGATCAAAGTTTCTCACACTGACTCCACCAGGAGTTTTTCTTGAACAAGGCAAAGCAATGTACCCAAAAGTTTTTATGGAAAGGTTAATGTGAAGGAAATCAGACATTTGTTTCTGTGGAATTTACTGAGGTGCAAGATTTTTGATGCTGCTGGAAAACAACTCTTTCTACTAATAAGAGAAGCACAAATATCAGTGAATGCTCCACAACCCAGCTGAGTGAATTAAAAATTGCTAATGGTTTTTTACTATCCCCTCTCCAAAAGGGAGCTATTTTAGAACTCAGCTTTTGAGTTTTAAAGTTTGAGCTTTATTCACTTGGAAAAACAAATATAAATTCTCCTCTCTTTACCTGCACTGGTGCCTGCACCGGTTGCAAGGTCCCCACCCATCAGGCCACCTAGAGGTTTGAAATGAAATGTAGATGAGCACAATAAATTACAACACTCAAACATTCAAAATATTTTCTCTACCTTCAATCACCCTGCTGTAGTACCCATCATTTCTTTCCTCTGACTTCAACACGCAGTTGAATCAGACCCATAATTATGAAATCATGGTGTTTAATGTTACCTGTATAAGACACTTGCCTTTCAAGGATAAACAAAATATGGAGTACCCATAATTTCCTTATTTTAGTTTCATGCTTCCATAGCATGTGAAAAATTATGTTTGAAAGTTATGTATAGTACTCCTTCATTTGAAAACTATCTTTAGTTGAATGCTAGTCAGAAAAGGAAAGGACTGGGAGGAAGAGGCTGAAGATTCCTGGAGAAGAATGTAACTCAGAATAAATACATATACATAGTTTTTAATTTCCTCAGCCTTTCACAGACATTCACACGAATGATTTTTAAAACTTCTCTTAGCACTTGGAGACCTCAAATCGTTCTTTGAACCTCATATACTTAAAGATCTTGATGTTGCTGGAGGCAGACAGATTGAAACAACCTAATCCCCACTTACCCTCATCAGAGATGAGCTCTCATCATCGCCAGAAAAAAGCACAACCCCTTGCTATGTAAAGCACTGAAGTACAGAGCTCAACTAACATTAACCCATCAAGGAGCTTATGAATGAATCAATAAAAATAAATTCTTCATGTAGCATGTAGACTGATTATTTAAGTAATGAGTGTACTGATTTACTTCAATTTTTTTGCATTGGCTACATTTCCTTTGGTTTTTTGTTTTTGTTTTTTTTTTTTAATTTTTTTGAGCTTTTTGTTGGTTGTTTTTTTTTTTCTCTTAATTTTTCAACACAGCAATTTTGGACAAGCTCTTGTGACTGTTAAAAAGAGATTTCTTTTTTCTTGGGGTACAATTTAAAGTGACCCAAGGCATGCAAGGAGCTGAGAGTAGAGCATTTGAAGGAATGGGATTGAACAGGTCCTACCTGTGTTACCTGCACTTGGAGGCCGATGTGTCACACCAGGAGACATGCTATTCCTTTGCAAAGAAGGATGAGCCAGTGGTAAAAGGTTGGGGTTTCCCAGTGAGCTGACTGGGTTACTGTATACCAAACTGTTGTGGCTGGACACTGGGATAGAAACTGGCATCTCAAAGTTTGGTGGTGGAACAGCCTGTACAAACAAAAATGGAAAACAAATAAGAGAATAGTACAAAACTGAAACAGCCTTTAAGTACAGTTACTCTATATTTAGTTCAAATATTTTGTACTTGGTGATTAAAATATTTGTGCTTACCCCCTTCCCCTAAGACTCAAGAGAAGAGTATCAAAACAATTACCAAGTCTTTTAAATATGATTTTTCAAATAAGGAGTCCATCTTCCTTTAATGCAGCTTGCACATTTATTTCATAAGACCTGGAAAGACTTTTTTCATTTTTTCTACTTTTTTTTTTGTTGTTTAAAACAAACCTCTGTCTCATGCAGCATAATTTTCTATTTCTGTCATTCTTTAAAGTCCTAATTGTTCACTTGTCACCTTAATCTAGTATCATAGATTTCTGCAAGATCAAAGTTACATGACAATGGTGACTTCATTACATGGAAAAAAATTGGAAGGGATAGAATACAAAAGGCAAGGCTCTAATTTCAGCTTGTGTTTCTTTAGCAACCAGAATTATCCCAAGTCACATAAAAGACACCAATACAGTAAATAATTTTTTAAATGAGTTTCTATCTTAGCTTGGAAGGGCTTAAAAAAAAATAAGTTCTCCTCAGGGACAGCTAACAAATACAAGAAATTTAGATATACACTAGTCTTTGTGGGCTATTTTTTGGGGGATGGCGGTGGTGTTTAGTGATGCCTTTTCATTATCCTATTTTCCTACCTAAAGGCAAGACTTTCTCCTGAGCTACTTCCCTTTGCAAGAATGCTTAAAAAAAAAAAAAGCAAATAATGTACCACACTAACAGAGGTGTGGTACAACAGATGTTATGAGGAGATGCATAGCTCATTATGCTCCTAGGAAGCTCAGTTCAGGTTTCCTTGGTTGGTTGTGAGTTTGTTGGTTGGGGTTCCCTGGGTAGCAGTTGCTTGAATTTCTATAAAAGTTATGACTACATTAGAAATCCACATTCAATTTATTTGCTTTAAAAATTGTTTTCTTGCCTTTTTGATCAGAAACACTTTTTCAGAATTACCTGACAGCATTTTAAGTATTCAATATGTGAATACAGGCCAAGTACCCCTCAATTTCCAAGTTTTCTAACATTTATAATCTTATAAGCTTCAAGAAAGAGCTTAAACACATAAAAATATTCTTTGAAGTAGACATATTCCAAGGGAGGAAATTAAAGGTTTTAATTTTATTGTTGGCAGCTGATAGTACTGGTATATCTTCAAGGACCTAGGAGGAGAGCTGGATGTATCAACTGCTTGTCAGTCAGCCGAGGCACCCTGACCTTGTGCCACCCATGTCTCTTCGGCTGGAGCTGTTGTCTATGCCCTCTGTATTACAGCACTATCTATCAAATTACAGTTATCTCTTAAGGCTGTTTTTTTTTTCTTTCTTGGTCCTCTCTAGGGACAGAGAAAATTTTACTCTAAATATAGAGGAATTATTTTGCCTAACCACAAAGAGCAAGATTTTCAGGGTATGATGTTAAGGATACTTTATACAAATGCCTTTGAACTGTTTTGAACTGTTAATTTAGCTCTGATACCCTCTCCTTTTTTTGAGAGATGACCATAGCAACATAGTTGAATAGATGGACCTGCTGGCATTGCTCCCCATCCTGGGGGGACGTGGGAATTTGCTTCCTTTTGCTGAGAAGCTGAAATGCACTCCAATGGCTGTATTTTTCATAAGGCTGATTGATTTAAGTAGAGGTAGGAAAGGAAGGTGAGGTGTTTTGGGAATCCACATGTTCTACATCTAATCTACAGATGTAAGAATCTACATGTGATCTGCACCCTTATGACTCAGATCTAAGCTCCTTGGAAATAGAGTCACATAGCATAATCTGAAACATTTGATCAGCTTGAAGGTATGTTTTGAAGAAAGTAATTCTTTTTAATGGCCACAGAAAGACCCAAAGCATTCCTAAATCCTATGTTAGTCAGAAGCACATGACTTCTTGTGGAGTTCAAAGTCAGTGTTTGAGCTCTCCATGTTTCAGTCCCAATTACAGCCTGATGTGAGACATGAATAAGCCAACATGGAGTTTCTGATTATTGTAACATACAGGGCTGCGATGGAGTTCTCTCTACCTGGTGGCTTTGCGCCCGTGGACCTGCCTGCTTGAGTACCAGTCCATGTTGCATTGACTGTCATTGTCAAGAGAACACTGCATAAGGTTTTCGTCACCCTTTGTCATAAGACCTATGAAGTCTGCTTCTGAGTCTAGGTAGAGACTATTATTGCCTCTATTTTCCTAATATCTTTTCCTAATCTAAATTTCTGTTATCTAAACTTAAACACCTGTACAAATGCAAAACTGAAGGTCTTGCCAGAATTCTAAAAGCTTGTTTGTTTTAACCACTATGTTCTTCCTTCCATGTACAAACCAAACTGTTCAAGATTCTTCTTCTTTTCTTACTTTTGTAGAAAAGAGCTCAAATCTTGGTAGCTCTTCAGGTTGTCAGTCTCCCTAGTCATGTGAAACTGTTACTTAGCTTTCATTTTGTCATTTAAAAAATATTTTTTTAAAGTAGTTGAATTATTTAATTTCTGTACGAATAGTTCTAATTTTTGTCATTTTACCCACTACTAGGATCAACTTACATCTGGTTACAGAGCACTTCATAGGCAATTTTATAAGGGCAAACTTAGTTTACTCTCTGTTTTTCAGCACAATATACTATATCTGAAATATAGTAGTTTTTATTTCTTCACCACAGTCAAAAGTTAGAGAGAGAAGTTTGACTGGATAAACATCAGTATTAAACACTACATCTCTAGGTACAGTTCTCCAGATCTCTGTCTAACTTTATTAGTATTATAAATTCTTCACAAAGAACTGCAATCTCCTGCAGATTCCCCATGGGTCATATTGATTCCATTTCAGCCTCATGGACATTAAAGTTTCTGATGCACTTGTATAATATATATATATATCAGTAGTAGCTAGGGAGGAACTGAGGCCATCAGAGGCCACAGAACAATTCATGTCCATACTATTAAGCTTTCTCAACCTCAAAAAAATCATGACTACATGTAGACTGACAATCGGGAATTGTTCCTGGCCTGGACTAGCAACCAAACAAAATGAAGAAATTGTCTGGGAGAATGTTATTTGACATCAAAAGGTGCTGAAAGCCTGGTGGGGACTGTTCAAAAAATTCACCTCAGAGATAAGCACACTTCATGCTACTTTAGTATGTTTTTTGCTTTTTTTGCTAATTCTAATATAGACAACGTCTACACTGTCATGTGTATAAAGTTTGCCATATTTTGCCTATTTTTCCCCCTTCCTTTGTCTTTTCTCCTTTGGACACCACTGCCAAAGAGGGCAGATGGCTCACCAGAGATGATACTGCCAGTGTACAGCACGCAGTGTTGGATGCTCACTCCACATGCTATGGTCCATGTTGCCAAACAAAGTGTTGGACACTTAACCTCCTTGGAACTTAATAGACCAAACATTCTGTGTTAAGTATTGGTTTTATCCCCCCATGTTCAACCAGGCCTTCATTTATTTAGAGACAGAGATACTTACAGCTTCCTTCTAGTGGGCTATTTCTCTCTCCTCTGCTTTCATCATTCTTACGAAATTTACAAATAAGTGTCTAATTTCTATCAGAATGTTTAGAACAATATGAATGCTTATCACCAGAAAATTATCGGAGGAAACATTATTGGGCTTAGCTGTTAGGAGCAAAAGCCAATATTGTTTTTATTTGGCAGCAACTTTTTTATGTTAAAAAACCAGGCAGAGGCAATGCATTGTTTTATATATTCTGTAAGTAGTGATTTAGAGACTTGACTCAGTGACTTTATTATTAATTTTGCTTTCTTCTCCCCAATTTTCTTGGCTACCTTTGATAATCACAAGTAAATGAATATATCTTCCCTGTCTTAGTTATTCTGATTTGTCCAGTTAAGGATATTACTGTATAAAATACATAATATTTATATATAAAAGCAGATAGTTACAAATTTACATTAAGTATAAGTTGTGGTCTCAATCTTGCCCATTGCATCTCGGCTTATGTCAAGAGAAGGAGTTTCTGTTGCATTACCAGAGAATATCTACTGTTTCTTCCTATTGTGGTAAGCAGCTTGTATAGAGGACAGAGGCCCTGAGCTCAGCTTGTGATGCAGTCAGAGGATGGCTATTCTGTCTTATATGAAAAAATGCTAACATTTGCTGTTCTATATTTCTGAAGTGTCTCTGAAGTAATTACACAAAAAGATTAATACACTGCACCTTATAACCTCCTGAAAGGTAGGAATCACCAATTAACTCCTGAAGTAGGACTATATTTGACGTCAAAAAGTTATATTAAATGAAAGCAACTGGAGTGAAATTCCATTGATTTTGGGAAAACAAAACCGATATACCATGCTCAGATTAACTGTCTGGTTTCCAAATCTTATATATTTCCTCATTTTACAGAAAACACAATTTTCCAAATGCTAATGGAGGTAAAGAAAGAGATAGAACTCACTACTATGAGAATGAAGTTTTTTCCCTAGGTTTTTTTTAATGTCTTAAGATTTCAGATGATTATAACATGACCTGTTTTGTTAGGAAAGAAAAGAAACAGGTAGCATGAGATTAACAGATGTTCTGAAGGATCATTCAAAATACATTTTTAAGGCAGAAAACTAGCTTGATGAAAATTCTGTCAGTTTGATTTGAAAAAGTCAAGTCATCCTTGAAAGAGAAACAGCATAAAAGAATGACAGTTGGTGAGATTTTGATGTGAAAAAGGGTTAAGCAGTCTGGCTTATAACAGTCTCCCTAAATACCGCAGTCATCATTTGTCAAGCTGAGTTGTATCCTGAGAAACCAAATTAATAGTGACAGCTTTAGAGTTTTTTTGTTCTGGGAAAAACAGCTTTCCAAAAGAACCAAATAAAAAGGGAGGTAAAAAAAATGGGATAGATCTGTATTCCTCCCTGAGATTCTACACATATGTTGGGTACCCTTAATCAGTCATTTTATATATTACTTTATCAAATTTGGTGCTTTTCTAATCTCTGGGAAAGTATTATTTAGTGTCCTTATATTTTTCCAAAATATTTTTGGCCTGATGTAAGAGCTTCTTCAAATTTTAATTACCTTGAGTGAAAAATCCTTCTGCTGAGACTTAATAGAAAGAGCACTTAAGAGTGCTTGAGACAGAATCTGAGCCTCCTTAAGAAGTATCCTCATCTTAGATGTCAGATTTTGTATGTGCAATTGACTAACAGTACAGAAGACACTGTGCATTCTGGGTATCCAGACAACATTTTTGGTAGATAACCATGCAACCTTTGTATGGGAATGACAAATGAACACATACAAATTATCTCTTTTTCTTGTCTTTTAGAAATAAGAAGTTACCTATGCAAATTCAAATGCTTCTTTGGGTCTTTGCAAATATTTGGTTTCCTACTTTGCTTTCCACAGACATTTGGAAAACCAATCAAATATAACCTCCAAACCTCCATACTTGTCATCTTTAAAAATGTAAGATTAAACATAATAACAAATAATTCATCCTTTGTATGTCTCGTGCAAAACAAATAGGACATGCAGAGTTATTTCTCTTAGATATCTGGCAAGGCATAGGACTGATTGTTAGAAATTTTGACTCAGTTAAAAAAAAATTTAGCTCATGTTAAAGCATTAAAATAATGCTGATGAGGTCAAAGCAAATTCTCTGATAAAGCTATAAAATCACCCCAACACACAAACATGTCTGAGACCTGCCATTAGGCTCTCATGCACTCTGTTTCTCGCAGCGAGCAAGAAGCTGTAACCCTTCAGTGCTGCAACTGAATTTAGCAGAAACAATGGAGAATTGAATTTACACATTCTAAACACACTAATTACTAGATATAAAGCAATTTCAGTTTAACATTGTTTTTCCTATATTGCCACAGAAAGTATTCTGTCAATTTGTTAGTCTGTCCACAAAGAAAGATTTCCACTGTTATTTTTTATGTATAATTTGGGCAAGTGGTGTAGTAAAACACTTCTGTAAATTAAGTGAATATAGTTCATATGCATATATTTCCCTTCCTTCTGTAGGTTTCACCCATAATAGGCTTTGTCTGTGTGTCAGAGTTAGAGACTTGAAAGAAAAATATGCCGTGTGAAATTTTCTCACCACAGTGCTTAGTTATATATTCGGCTATTAAAGCCTCTTTCTAGCTGAATTTATTTCCTTAAGAAGCCAGAACTGAAAGGGTTATGATTTGTTACTGCGTCAGTTATCAGCAGACAGCCATCTAACCTTTGGTACTTACAGGTATTTTATGGCTCTTGATCATATTATCAAATTCTTCATTAATTTTTTTGTATTTTTCTTCAGTGCGTGGGGTGAGAGCATAAGAGGAGTCAGGATCAGGGCTTTCACAAGCTTTGTTTTCTTTCTTGTGCAATGCCTGCCAGATTCAGAGAAATATCAGAAAGTAAAAAAAATGAAAAAGAGTTCAGAGTACTTACACATAATCTTTGCCTGCTGATCATTAGATCAATATCTTCATTAAGTTTTCTGTACTTGTCCTCGGACTCAGGGCTGTGACCTACTGAATCATCTGCATCAGGGTCTGGACTGTCACAGCCATTAAGTCCTTTCTTTCTTAATGTCTGAAATAGATAATTTGGGAAGTTCAATCCTTGACATGGGCTGCAAGAAAGACTCAGCAGTGTTAAAGAAACACAAACTGCTCATCATAGAAAAATGTTAAATTATGCTTTAAGGAAAGAAAGTCACTAATGATCCACCACACTGATGTGTGGTTTCCAATAATGAGTAAGGACCATACAAGACCTCGTTCTTCTGAAGCTGGTACAAATCAATAAAGAATGAATCTGGTAATTAACAAAAAGTTAGTTCCTATGCTAGTATGTCCCCTGCTTCATGATTCCCATATCCCGCAGCATTAAGAGTTTAGGCTAACCACAGAATGCAATTTATTTTAACATAAACCAAACTTAATATATTTATCTATAGTTTACCATTGAATACACTGATGTTCTTATTTTCTTTTAAGGAAGATGCAGGAGAAGCAAATGGAAAAAGAATTGAACCTGCAACAAATTTGGGAATCCATTTCTTCACAGAGGAAGAATAATTACCCAAATAGAATTCAAGGACTTTAGCAATGTTGTTCCTAAGTCTATGCTTGTGATAGGACAAGAGGGAGGACAGAGTTGATGATAGGGTTATGAAATAACAATTAAGAGCTTCTAGACATGATGTTTACTTTTTATTGACTACACTTAAAGTGCTAAAAACGCACAGGGCTAGAGCTTAATGCACAGGAAAAAGCACAGGAAAAACATATGCTTAGTGAAAAGTCAAAATGAAAGAATTTCAGGTTTAGCTACTCAAATACACGCAACCATGTTTATAATCACTAAGACAGGAGAGTTGAAAAATCTTAGAACCAGGACTGAATCAGTAGCTTGCAATTCAGAACAGTTGTCTGGCTTCAAAAAGGCTTTAACTGATCTACCTTTACAGAGCCCCAAAGAACATAGGCTATATTAAGGCAAAAGAATATGAGAAGAAAGTGTGGACTCCTCAAGTACAAGCAGTATTACATAAAGCAAATGTATTCACAATTTCTCATATTTAGTTTCAAGAATGAGTCAGTCAAAAACTCTTCAAAAACTACTTGGCTGTCTACAAACTTTTTAAGTTAGCTTGTAGTCCGCTCTGTGCTGAAACCTGGCCAAGCAATCTCAATTACAATGAAAATATCACATATTTTGTCTGTTAGTAAGTGGCTAATGTGCACTGTCTGTCAATGTGGGATACTCTGGTGGTATCTTTTTGCCTTCTCAGAATGGTTGTGTATCAGCTTTTTGTTCCTTCAGAAATTGTACATTTCATAATTATTTTTTTTATGACGATGGTCAGCTTACTACTGTTACTATCCCTAAATATTATAATGTCATGCCATGTCAATGTTCTCATACTGATGAAAACCCCCTGAACCTTCCATTTTCATTGACTAAACAAAGTGATGGTGATCTGCTCTATGAGATCTGAGCCTTCTAATCTCCCATTGCAGACCTCTGAAACAGATTTAGGTATTTATGAAAGGCTGGCCCAATGTAGATCTTTCTTTTCAAACTTCATATCTATAAAGACTTCAAGTCAAATCCATGAGCTACTTCCTTAACACCAATAAAATTATAATCCATTTGAATAAAAACTTGAGATGCTAAAGCAACCCGAATAATTCCCTACACCTTTTTCCACTCCCCATGCTCTTTTATCTTTTAAATGTTAAATGTTCAGTTAGCAGAACAGACATAATACCACATGATATCTACTGCTAGCAGCTTGAAACAACCCAATTAGCAAGAGGGTTTTGCAATCAGCTGCTCTTTAATAGATTTAATAGACACAACAAAATACAATATAAGCAAAATGTCTCATTGCAATCTCAACTAACATTCTTCTCTTCACATAAGCACGGAACAGTTGTCCTCTGAATACTTAAAACATTCTGTTTCAAACTTAGATCAAGCTGTCCAGACATGAAGATCAGCATACTTGGGACCATTTCCAGAGCTCATATGATACACTGATCAGTCCTGCTGATTCCTATGGAGTCCCTGAGGACAGATGTGGATGTGAGCTGGACTAAATTACTTCCTAAACTTCAGGCTTTGAGATGTCAGACAAAAAGAAATATGAAAAGAGAAGAAACAGAGGAATGCTTTGTAGCCTTTTTGAATCTTTTCCCCTCCCATTATTCACAAATCGTGCTGAATTCACAAGACTGTGTCTGTGAGAAGCAGATGCATCTTGCCCTCAGCATACTCATAATGCCTTAAAGTTCTGAAAATGATTTTTTTTTTTGTTGCTATGGTGGCTTGTAGAAGTTTGGGGATGCACTGCACCTTTCAGATGCTCAGAAGAGGAAAGGCAATGGGAGCCAACATATGTCTTGCAACAGTCTCCAAACAGACTGGATTCCCTCCCATCGTAGAAGTACTTTTATAGATATTTATTTTTACATTTTTTTCATACCTTTAGAAAGCAGGTTGGTTGCCACACCAGGCAGAGAAAAAGCGATCTATTTTCAGTAGAAAAGCCAAGATGGAAAGTAATAAATTGTGTCAATATTCTACCCAAAATTAACTTTAGCCCTAAAGAGAAGAGGCAAACCTTTCCCTTGCAAAAAAACATCAGTCTTGTGGTTTTGGCTGGTACCTTGGCTGATGGTGCAAATCAAGCTCAGTAATGCAGACCACTGGCTCTCTGCCCATCAGACCTCAAAAAAATTCAAATCAAATCAAATCAAACAAATACAGACACAAACCCTTAACCCCCATCTAGATAACACTACAGAAATCCCAAACAAAAACAAGGAAGTATTTCAATGAGATGGGTTAAGGCTAAGCAACAGGAATTTCCACATATTATTTCCACTAAGAGGCACAGCTCCTAGCTTTGTGAGTGCTGGAACTAATGCTTAGTTCCCTGTGAATTTGATTTGGGGTAAAGTGCAATATGCAGAAAAGATCTCTTGTGGAAGGGTCTCTGGGGATTTCTCTTAGTATTCATCCTTCTGCTGATCTTTGCTGCTTCTGTTTGTCACAACTTGGGTTGAAATGCTGCCTTCAGCTGGGAGTCTTTCTGGGAGTAATATCTGGTTCTCTTTTCTTGCACAAGAACATACAATTTTCCTGAAACTTGTTGAAATTTCACTATCTTGGAGACCCCTCCCTTTGTACTAGATTTGCTTAGCAATGAATAAAACATGAAGTTGTAAGGGAAAAGACAGAAGAACAGATTGGTAGATTACACAGGGGCAGGAACACACAGGCTCACATCAAAGTCTTCCTCCGGAGAGGAGAGCAGGCTGGAAGTGATGTGTTTAAACTCTTCACTAAGGTAATGAGTTGTATCAAGGACAGAAATAATGACCCCGAACATATCAGGATTATCTCTGCCTCCTCAACATGCAGGCTAGCTTTCCCTATCTTATTACTTTGTTCATTATTTTACTTTCCTCCGTGTCATTAACTACCACATTAAACCTCTCTTTTTTTTTCCTTCATTTTTTCCATTATTGGTGTGCTTCAACACAAGTTTGTACAGTGCAGGTAAAAGTGATGCTGACCAGTGTCAAACTGATTAACCATTTTTCACAAGCTCTCTGGACTTTGTGTCAAGATTTCCTCCTCTCCTCTATTTAGTGTCACCTCTTGAAAGAAGAAGCTGGTTCTGGAGTCTTTGACAGTCTTACAGTCATTTTGAAATGATTTTTCTTATTGTTGAGTTGTCATAGACTCTTACAAACTCTAGAACAGACCTGTCACATCCTCCTGGAGATTAGCTAGCTTCCAAAGATTTCATGACTATTCTGGAAATTTTTAAAAGGATAAAATAACACAAATGTATAGTGCATTGCATTCTAGAGAACCCTAAGGCAGATTTCAGTTATTTTTAAAGAAAATAAGCTATTTTTCAACTACAGAAGCTTCACTTTTTCCAAGCAATTAATCAAGTAACTATATTGGACTCCAATAACCTGAAATTAGCCAAGGCATATGAAAAACAGAATGGTCAAAGGAAAACAACCTTTGGCTGAAATGTGCTGTGCCAGCAATTAGCCTAAATCCTACTCTGTAAATCTCAGAGGAGAAGTGCTATTATAGTGACATGCTGACTGCTGCAAAAGAGAGTATAAACAACTGTTTGCTTTCATTTCATGCAAAACTTATCATCATTATGGAAGCTCAAAAGAAAATATGGCAGTAATATCCAGGTCTGATTTTATCAAGACAATGAAAATCATTGTAATTTTGAAGACTTTTGAGGAGCAAAAGCTTTTCATTTTCCTAATCTAGTCTCTGTTTCTGCAGTTTTATCCTCCAGATTTTTTTTCGGTCTTTTTTAGCATCTCTTTAACGGAATGAGTGGAGAAGGTTGGAAATGATTTTATTTTTTTCCATCTTGTCAATTAGTTTGTTCATCTTTCTTTTTAGTTGGTTTATCTGCTATGGGGCTGTAGCAGCAGCTCTCTGATCATAGAGAGAAACACAACTTTCCCAGGTATCATTCTGGGAAAAGTCTGTGAGAAGAGCAGAGAAAAGAATGAGAAACAATTCTTATCTTAACTTACTACACCTAGTAATGTAAACATGTAAAATATATTGTAGAAATTTGTTCACCAAAGAATAGTTTCTTAATTAACTAATACTAATAGTATTTAAATTAGAGGACCTATTAAGTCCAACCATATCATAACTATCTGAAAAAACAATAAGTTTCTTAATAAATAATAATCAACCTTCTATAAATACATAGAATCTATATAACCTATTACCAGTCCTGGCCTGTTGCAATGCCATGGAACTGCTTCTCATAGCATTTCAGGGCTTGGAAATGCTCACAGTATAGGTGCCAAATTAAAGACTAGGTCAGCTGATGAGGTTCCCAAAAGATTCAGATCAGCCCAATATGTTCCTTTTTGATATCCTCTGCAACAAAGACCTAACAAGGTTAGGTTAACCACTATCTTCATTTGTGTGATGAAAAGTATGATCTCACTGGGTCTTCTTCTGTAATCAAATTTTACAATATGGAAAAATTCAGAATTAAATGTCTATTTCTAAAAATT